GTCAACCTAGGGAGGGAAGACTAGTCACTGGGGGTGTGCCAGCCCAAGGAAAGCTGGCATGGTGGGTGGTCCAGGGGAAAAGTACCTGGGTTCCCAGAGGGCCCTCACCCTCCTGCCGCAGGTGGAGCGCACAGAGGTGCTGCGCTCCTGCTCCAGCCCCGTCTTCTCCCGGGTGCTGGCCCTTGAGTACTTTTTTGAAGAAAAGCAGCCCCTGCAGTTCCATGTGTTTGATGCCGAGGACGGAGCCACCAGCCCCAGCAGTGACACCTTCCTTGGCTCTACAGAGTGCACCTTGGGCCAGGTCTGCATTCCCACCCCACCCCCACCAGCTTCTGCTTCCTCTCTGAAATCCAAATTAACAGAGAGCATGAGCTCTAGGGCTAGTTCATTCCAGGCTTGGACCTCCATCTCCGCCATTCACTGGCTGTGCAGCCTTGGGCAAGATACTTAACTTCTCTGAGTCTTAGTTTCCTCGTCTACACAATGGGGGTCACAGTCCAACCCTAGCCCAACTTATTACCCCTGTCCCTTATACCCTGGCCAAGGCAGGTGGGGCCTCACAGCCGGGTCTCCCTCCACCTCCATCTCCAGATTGTGTCACAAACCAAGGTCACTAAGCCATTGCTGCTGAAGAACGGGAAGACTGCGGGCAAGTCCACCATCACGGTAGGCAAGGTCACCTATACTCACCCTTGGACAGGGCATTCAATGCCCCTGCACCAACAGCCATGGTGACATCATGCCCAGGACTGGCCCCCACTTAAAGGAAAGGGCCTAGGGTGGACCTTGTGGTAGGGGGGTCGGGGGGAGTCCTGCCACTTGTGTTCCCCTTGCAGATTGTCGCTGAGGAGGTGTCTGGCACCAACGACTATGTGCAGCTCACCTTCAGAGCCCACAAGCTGGACAACAAGGTCAAAATCCCAGAGTCCAGGCCCCCAAGTCAAGACAAATCCCAAAGTCCCGGCACTGTTCCCTTCTCTGTGTTAGCCGCTTCCCCCTGCACACCTCACCAGGCTCATGGGCCTGTTCCTCTATATCCCCAGGATCTGTTCAGCAAATCTGACCCTTTCATAGAGATCTATAAGACCAACGAGGACCAGAGTGAGCAGCTGGTCTGGAGGACCGAGGTTGGTGCCTGGGGCTATGGGGAAGGAGGGAGGAAGAGCAGAGTCGGGAAACCTAGATAGGAGGTGACCGGCTCTCTGGTGCCTCTCCAAGGTGGTGAAGAACAACCTGAACCCCACCTGGGAGCCATTCCGCCTGTCCCTGCACTCCCTATGCAGCTGTGACATCCACCGGCCTCTCAAGGTGAAGCCCCCTTCAAGCAAGGGCAGCCTACTGTAGCATCCAGCCTCTGCCTGAGACCTTCCCCCTGAGTGTAGCAAGCTCCCTTCCTCTCCCCCACTGTGCGGTAAAGAGCCTGTCACAGCTCAGTGTTCCTACATGTGTGCCTACATGTGTGCCTTTTATCAGAAGCCAAAGTCCCTGCCAGACTGAGCCAAAGAATGACGTTCTCGGCAAATGGCCTCTCTGGGCAGGTTGAGTTCGTCTTTTTGGACCTAGAGAGTGTTAGACCCCTACCTCCCTGAGTCCCTCCCCCTGACCCCAGGAACCACCGCAAAGCATCCCTGACCCTGACCCCCCTGCCTTCTCAGTTCCTGGTGTATGACTATGACTCAAGTGGGAAACATGACTTCATTGGAGAGTTCACCAGCACCTTCCAGGAGATGCAGGAAGGAACAGCAAATCCTGGACAAGAGGTGTCACAAAGACCCCTCCCCTAGGATCCCCCCTAAGACCTCTGGGAAAATTCTGAGGGCGATGCTGAAGAGGCCTCCATGCATCATCAGCATCACCCTAAGGCCTGAGCCGTGGAGGCCCTGCTCTGGGAGGCTTTGCTGGAAGGGGGATGAGGGGTCACCTGATGGAATTGTGACCTGGGCTTTTGGGGAATGTGGGGTCTAGATGCAGTGGGACTGCATCAACCCCAAGTATCGGGACAAGAAGAAGAACTACAAGAGCTCGGGGACCGTAGTTCTGGCCCAGTGCACGGTAAATCCCAGTGCCAGCCTCCAGTCCTGCCCCAGCCCTGAGCCCCACTGCAGCCTCACATTCAACTCTTCCTTTGCCTCTGGGAACTGAAAACCCTTGCCCTATACCACTGCCAACTTCAATCTCAAAAGCTCTGGTTCCTCCACTTCCCTCACAGAAGCCCCACCTAGCTCCCTCCCCGAAGGACTATCCCTCCACCTTATCTCCCTTGCTTCCACCAGGTGGAAAAGGTACACACATTTCTGGATTACATCATGGGCGGCTGCCAGATCAGCTTCACGGTAAATGCCCAGGGGATGGGGACACAGACCAGAGGGAAGGGCTAAGCCTATAGTGAACAGAAAGAACCCAGAATGCCCTCTGCCCTGCTTAGGCCTCTCATGAGCCTGGCATTGTCATTTGTACCCCTCACCCCGCTCTATGATGATGCTACCTGTGGGCTCACCCAGATTCACCTTAGTCCTCCCTACAGACACTAGCACTGGCCTAGCCTCTCTGTTGGTTCTCAAGGATGTAGCAAGTCCGTTTCCCCACCTCCACCAGGTGGCCATTGACTTCACAGCCTCCAATGGGGACCCGAGGAGCAGCCAGTCCCTACACTGCCTCAGCCCTCGCCAGCCCAATCACTACTTGCAGGCCCTGCGTGCAGTGGGAGGCATCTGTCAAGACTATGACAGGTAGAAAGAGGTGGCGGGCAGGGCCGGAGACAGTCAGGGAGGCTTTGCCCAGTGGGGCCTCACAGCCTTTTCTTCTCCCCAGTGATAAGCGGTTCCCAGCGTTTGGCTTTGGGGCTCGAATCCCTCCCAACTTCGAGGTAGGCTGGGTGCCAAGAGAAGGGAGGAGCTGGTGGGAGAGTGAGACAAGAAGGAATGATCCCCTTACTGTTCTCATAGGTGTCCCATGACTTTGCTATCAACTTTGACCCGGAAAATCCTGAATGTGAAGGTAAGAGGGGATGCTCCCACCAGCCCCCCAACACAGCTTGCTGCACACTCCTGTACACCCCATGACAACGCACAGACTGCATTCCCATGGGCCCAGCTCCCTGAGCCTTTATCCATTCAGTGCCTGGGTCCATTTGGTAAGACTTCCAGACCTTGGCCCAGCATCTACCCACCCAATTGCCCCAGTGCCTGGACCATCCAACTCTCCTTCTTACTGAGAAACTGGGGTGGGGGGGGGGATGGGCAGGGACAGGACACTTCCTTGCTTTAAGGGGTATCAGGAAGGGCTCCCCGCTAATCTCTGAAAGCCTCACCTCTGCCCACAGAGATCTCGGGGGTCATCACCTCCTACCGCCGTTGCCTGCCCCAGATCCAGCTCTATGGCCCCACCAACGTGGCCCCCATCATCAATCGCGTGGCTGAGCCAGCCCAGCGGGAGCAGAGCACCGGCCAAGCCACGGTGAGGAGAGGA